AGATTAATAGATAGAGAGATGGAGAGATAGATAAAAAGAAAAAAAGAATAAGAAAAAGCAAAAGAAAGACAGATAAACAAATAGATAGAAAGGTAATAGAGAGATGGATAGACAACTATCTAGATAGACGGATAAGTAGATAGATTGATTGATTAGATAGATAGGTTAGATAGATAGATAAATAGATTAACTCGATAAAGAAATGGATAGAGATATAGATAAATAAATAGATATCGATCGATAGATAGAGAAATAGGATGGATGAATAGATAATTGGATAGCTAAATGGATAGGTAGAGAAAAGAATAGCGCAAAAAAAATAGAAAGAAAATCGATAGAAACAATAGAAAATTAAGAACGAAAGGAAAGAAAAAAGGACAGAAAGAAAGAAAAAAGAAAAGAACAAAAAAAAGAATCAAAAACACAAAATCGTTATTATACTTGTATATTGTTTTGAAATTGTTGCTTCCCGCTTTCGCCGGCTATGTTTGTATTGTTATTTTGCATGGAGGAATATATGTTCCGTTTTTTTTTGGGTGGGTAGCTTTTTGGCTTTGTTGCTTTTACATGAGTTGTGTGACTTTTGTATTTTTTATCTTCTGCATCTACAACTCTTTTTGTTCGTATCTTTTGCATTCTTAATTCCGTTGCGGTAGGTGGTTTTTTGACTTTGGTGGTTTTGGGTCTTTATATCTTCTGTTTCCCAAACTGATTTTTGGTCTTGGCTTCTTTCTTGCATCCTTAACATCATAAATTCTTTGTTGATTTCCTTCATCGTCCCCTTTTCGATTAACATATATACCTAATTGAATTATTATTTTTCGATTATTATATAATATTTTTTTAAAAATATTATTCGATTCATTTTTAATTATTAAGGGGAAGGATTGTTGCCTCCCCCAACCCCCCCCCCCCCGCAATTTTTGAGATTTTTTGCCACTAACTGAATTATCACTTTTGTAATCATGATAGGGGATTGCCGCCCCCTCCTAACACCCCCGCTATTTGTTAGACTTTTTGCCCCTAATTGAATTATTATTTTCTCGATAATTATGGGCTGCCGCCCCCCAATTCCCCTCGTGCTTTGAATTAAATTATTACCATTTTTATTCTCATGGGGGGGACCCAACCTCCCCGCTATTTTAGAGCCTAATTGAATTAATATTTTTTTCGATCGTCGTCCCCCCCAACCCCCCTCGCGCCTTTTTTTGAACTATCACTAATTTAATCATTATGGGGGGGGCTACCGCCCCCCCAACCCCTCCGCTATTTTAGAATTGTTACCCCTAATTGAATCATCATTTGTTTGTCACCATGAGGGCCGCCGCCGCTCCCCCCCCCCTAAACCCCCCCCCGCTACTTTTTGATTTTAGGCAATGAGCCATTATTTTTTAAATTATCATTGGGGTGGTTATTGCCCCCCCTCCCAACCCCCCCAATGTTTTTCATATTTCTTGACCTCATTAAGCTATCATTTTTTGACCACCATGAGGGCTGCGCCCCCCGCAAACCCCCCGCTACTTTTTGGATTTTGGGCAGAGATTAAAATGCACCCCTAATTGAACTATCATATTTTTCAATTGTTATGGGGGGGGGCTGCCGCTAACCCCCTACTATTTTTTTTGCAGGGATTAATTTGTTCGTCTTTGAATCATCATTTTTACCATGAGGCTTTGCCACAATGGAATTAATGATGTTGAAGATGCAGGAAGCCAAGGCCCTCGATTTGCTGATCATATTGAGGATATTTATTGGATATATGGCAGATATTGAAACCGATGCTGATGATGCTAACCGATGCTGATGATGCTAACGAATTAGCACAAAATATGAACATTTCACGAGAAAATTCTATACATTATAGCATTTTAGTAACTAACACGGAAAACAAACAATCTCGACCCATATTATATATATTAATTTACAATTTAATATGGGTAAAATTTATTTATAATTATAATATTTATTATATTAAAATAATAATATAATTAAATTATAAAATAATAATATATTAAATTTATCTTTAATTTGAATTTATAGTTTCATCATTTTATATTAATAATATTTTAAATACTTAATAAATTATTTATTAAAGATTCGAAAAATATAAAATAAAAAATAACTCTATAAATATATTTATTATATTAAAATAATTATGATTTTAAATCTTTATCTTAAACCCTGCCCAAGCAAACTATTTCAAAAGATTACGTATCACATTAAATTAAAAACCAATTCAACAAACCCAAATATCTAAAAATAAATTATACACACCAAACTAATTTTTTATCGATTTTCATATCACCACATTCGCACAAAATAAACACAATATTTCAACCAAAATAATAACAAAGTAACTAAATAAAGTATAATATATATCAATAATCTTTATCGCTAAATTGCTCAAACTTAACACAATCCAAATTATATAATCTAAAATATAATATTTTAAACCTTATTTTTAAATATTCCGTACACCTAATTACAATATCCTCCAATTTCCATCAAAATTGTCCTAACTCTCTCGACGACCTAAAAAATGGGCCCTACCCTTTATAAACTCAAAACTATTATCCTATATAAAATTTAGCCTTTGCAAAATCAACTTCAAACAAATAAATACAACCAAAATCAAAAACAAAAACAAAGACAAACACAAGAGACAAAAACAACAACAAATACATAAACACACACAAACACAGAAACACAGAAACACAGAAACACAGAAACACAGAAACACAGAAACACAGAAACACAGAAACACAGAAACACAAAAACACAGAAACACACAAACACACAGACACACAGACACACAGACGCAGACAGACACAAAGAGACAGACACAGACAAACAGACACAGACAAACACAGACAGACAGCACAGACACAAACACAAACAGACACAGACACAGACAAACACAGACAGACACAGGCAGACGGACACCGACAGACAGACACAGACAGACGGACACAGACAGACAGACACAGACAGACGGACAGACAGACAGACACAGACAGACACAGACAGACAGACACAGACAGACAGACACAGAGAGACAGACACAGACAGACAGGCAAACAAAGAAACAGACACCAGAGACAGAGAGACCGGCAGACAAAGAGAGACAGAGACAGACACCGACAGAGAGACAGAGACAAAAAAAGACACACCTCCGGCGCGCAGCGCGCCGGATTCTGACGTCGACATGCCACAGGCTTCGCCTGCGCACGTGCACGCGTCCGACTCCGAGCCCGAGAGCCGTTATGCAGACGGGCTGCAAGAATGCGCGCGCGAGCTCTCGGCTGCGCGTGCCCCAGTTGGACGCGGCCGCTGGCCGCTTGTCCCCTGGCGCCCTCGCGCAGTGGAGCGAGCCAGTTGGAAACGGTTTGTCACGCGCTTGTCTCGGCGCTGCCCCGCCGCTCTCCTTGCCCTCCACGACGGCTGTATTCTGGCCCGTGGCCAGGAAATGGTTGCAGGTGTTCGGCGGCCCTCTTTGGACTGGGCATTGCAGGTTGCTACCGGCCCGGTTTGGATTGGTAGTTTGGATCGGCGTTTTGGAGGTTAGGGGGTGGTTTCCCATTCAACTTCAACATGATCCAGGGGTTCAATCCCCAAATCAATCCAAACCAGCAGTGAGGGGTAAGTTGAGGCGGGTGCTGTGGTGGGTGTGCCAAGAACAGAGCAAATCTTATAGAGCCCGCGCCGGCAAGACATTTTTTGAAACACAGGTCGCAAGACGCACTGAGGGCCGGGCTGGTCGCGATAAGGTCACGCCAAAGAGCGGTCGCCTGAGCAAGGTGAGAACGGATCCGCGGGCTGTTGGCCTCAGAAGATCCACACACACACACACGCACACGCAGTTGTTGCAAGCGCAAGCGAAAACGCGATCGACCAGAAAACATCCTGGGTGCAAGCAAAGCCGAACTGATTTCGCCCAAAGCATTGGGAAAAACACCACTGGTCGCAACAATCGGCCGCGGCTCACAGCTTCTCGCATCGCCAAACTCTCGGAAGATGGGCCAAATTTCAGCCAAAATTGCTACGGACAGGCAAATATATGCCCCGACTCTTTATCTGGAAGACACAACGGCTTCGTTCAAAGCCCGGACCATTTTTCCGAAATATCCCCGATATTTCGATATTTGCACTCCAGACCATTTTTCCGAAAGATTCCGGATATTTCGCCGACAGCATTTCCCGAAATATTTGGAATATTTCGGGAAAACGGTTCCCGAAATATTCGGAATATTTCGAGAAAATTGTGGGTGGCTGCGATTTTCCCGAAATATCTAGAATATTTCGGGAAATTGGTCCCTACAAAAAATGAAGCCACTGCATCTTCCGAATTATGGCCGGGGTAACCTGGACAGATTTGGGTAAGCGGTCCGTAGGAAATATGAAGCGGTTTCATCTTCCAGGGGCAGCCCGGACCAAATTTCCGAAATATCCTGGATTTTTCGGAAAAGCGGTCCGGGAAAACGCGCGCAAGTGCGACGAGCAAGATTCACGGTTTCGTTTTACAGAGTAAATATATATATATATATATATATATATATATATCATTCCTTCATTTTATCAATAATAAACATATTTATGTCTAATTGTTTTACAATTATTTAAAACTATTAACGCTAAATAAGTCAATGACTAACAATTCCGCTAAATTTCCTCTAAATTCTCCTAAGCCCATGTCCGCTAAACCTTCGCTTTTCAAATCCACAAAAAATAAAATGAACAAAAAAAACAAAAAAACTAAAAACATAAAACAACTCCCATCCATCCACCCAACCACCCATCCCATCCAACCCAACCCACTCATCCACCCACCCACATCCACCAAAGCCATCATCCACCCATCCATCCACCCATCCACCCAGCCACCCATCCACCCATCTACCCATCCACCCTACCCATCCATGTATCCATCCATCGCAGTACAAAAACCTTTTGTGCACACCTTAATACATATTGAAATAAATGCCTTCTGGAATCTCACATTTTTGTATTGATTTCTTTGTTCTTTATCAAGTTGCATCGCTTGAAATGTCAAAGCTAGCAAGGGCTGCAGAACGTCTAGACAAGGTCGACAAAGATCGTCGAATCTCCTTGCTCTTTGGGTGTCTCTTCACAATCATCGCGGACAACAGGATGCCGATTGTACCTTGGTTCGCGTTGGCTGGAGGATTAGCCAAAAGGGTATGCCATGCGACCAGCCAAGATGCAAGTCACTGCCATCACCAAGTGTGGAAGGGCGAAGCAGTGTGACCCATAGCAATGCTGGCTGCTGTCTGAATTCCGGTCATAGGAAAAGCTGCCCAAGAAGCAGCCAAACAGCAGGGACGCAAAGCCGTTTCCCACCTGAAGCAAGCTGGCTGGGAATCATGCATTGCTTATACGATTCATCATCAAAGTAAGCACCATGCGGCATCCATGAAGGTCCAGTTGGCACTCAAGGTCGAACGCCCCCAACGAGCTGCGCACACATTCACCTCAGGTCGGAATCCTGGATGCGAGCTTGCCAATGATCACCAGTCCCAAAACACACACGACGACAGCGCCAGGTGGCCAAAGTCGGAAAGGTGCCACCAAAGGCCAAACCCACAACAAGGGCCCCTGCGAACAGCAG